AGTTCGGTTGCCAGGACTTTCCATGAACGCCAGAATTTTAAAGCATGCAACAGTTATGGTGGTTGTAGGATTTTGCCATTTCGACATTGTGGCTGGAAATTCTAATGATCGTCATAATTAATGGTGCTTCAAAATTCTGGTGATCCTCAAAATTTTTGGTGCTTTAAAATTCTGGCGGGTAATTCAAAATTCTATTGAGCATATGTTTTAAAATTCTGACATCAGGATATTTTCCAAAAAGAAATTTAGTAAGGTCAAAATATAAATAATGATATAATCTTTTTTTGTTAGGTTAATATGTTCAAAACCTGAAACTCATTGTCGAGATTGCGTAGTATTTGCAAATTATACATCTAGAGCTTAAAGCATACTCGTCTTAAATAATGGAGTTAATTTTATCCATGGTCATTCAACTTTGTATTTGTTACCTAAAAGTTATTTTTCTTTATTTTTATTGCGTAAAAATCATTCAATTTTGTGTTCATTACACAAAAGTCACTTTTCTTTCTTTTGTTACACAAAAATTATTTTACTATGCTCTAATTATCACAAAAGTCATATTTTTACTTGAAAAGTCTATTATGCCCTTGATATTATATAAACCTTCATGTTTATGTAATATCTTCAATATTATAGACTATATAAATATTTTTAACTATGTATGTTATTTATAAACAAAATAACTTAATATTATTTTTATAATATATTCGTATATTTAATTTTTTCTTGACGTTAATTTTTAAAATATATTAGTAGCGTTATTAAATTTGTCAGTAACTTTAATATATATTAGTAGAGAAATAAATCGGCAAATACATTTTCGTGACAAAATTCGCAGGTAAACAAACAAAAAAAAATGAGGAAAAAATCATATGTTAATTTGAAGGAAAATCCCTAGGTAACTCTACATGAGAATTTAACGGGGGATATTTTCTTGGGGGTTTACCTAGGCAATTTGTTATTTGGAAAATTATACTACTAGAAATTACATAAATATGAAGGTATATATAATATCAAGGGCATAATAGACTTTTCAAGTAAAAATGTGACTTTTGTGATAACTAGAGCAAAATAAAATGATTTTTGTGTAACAAAAGAAAGAAAAGTGACTTTTGTGTAATGAATACTAAATTGAATGATTTTTACGTAACAAAAAAAAGTAACTTTTGGGTAACAAACACAAGAGTTCAATGACCATGGATAAAATTATCTCTAAATAATAGTATAAAATATTGACAAGCCAGAATTGAGGCTATCCTATTATCCTTAACTTAGATTTTTGAAATAATTTCTTAGTTCTCAAGAATATAAATAGAAAATACAGTAAAAGAGAAAAGAAAGACAAACTTAAAACATAGCATGCAGAGAAATGTATCTTCTTTTTCTTCAATTTTCTTCTCTTCCTTTTTGTTTATGTATTAGCTTTAATTTTAAGTCACTTGAAAAGATTAAGTATGCATCCAATAAGAAAAAATTGGATGAAAATAAGTTAATTTTGTTACAGAAGAAAATAAGATAACATACGAACTAGAGCAAACTTGTTCATTTATAGGTTATAGAATAATTTTTTCCACGAAATACGTTAAAGAGATATTTACAGTACTGGAAATCAACCTAGAAATATATGTTTCAAGCGGAAATTTGTGAATTTTTTTAAAAAAGATTTTGACACTATAACTGTGGATGAAGTGAAACTATTTATCTAGGTAAGGTACAAGCTTCAAATAACTGTTATATTAAGTGTTTTACTTTAAATAACTGTTAATTACTCATTTTCCCCATCGATAATTATTTATTTAAATTACTGAGAATTTTTTACACATTTTGTCCCTCAAATATCAACAAATTCGAATTTTTGGACCTTGTGATTTCTGATTAAGCACATTCAACCTTCAATTAATTTATATATGCACTTTTGATCCCCTTGATTGTAAATCATCACAAATATAACAAATTATTAATTGCTAAACTACTTAATTGTATATTTGAAGATAATATAATTCTAGAAGTTAATCTAAATATATTTATTATATAAAGAGACCAAGAATATACTTTTAATTACCTCAAGGTTATATGTGTTTTGCCTAATTTATGAGAATCAAAATCAGGGGCGAAGCCACCTTTTGTTAAGGATGGTCAAATGACCACACTTCGTCGAAATATTACGAAAAATTATACTGCATATATAAGTTAATTAATTTTAGATGTATAAACATATATTGAGCAACCATTGTCAAGAGATTTTTTACTTCTTTCAAGTCTGAACATCATTGGAAACTTTTCTTGCTTCGCCACCGATCAAAATAAGAATTTATCAAAGATTTTTGAATATCTAGAAAACATTTCTGACTTTGAGTGTTTAAAATTTATACGAACATAATTGAAGGCAGTTAACAACTACAAAGAAATTGACATCATTTTTCTCTCTTGGTTGAATTAAAGTACGTTTGAGACATTTTATCTATTGAAATAATGATTTGTATTGTTAATTCTTTGAAAGATTATCAATATCCACATTGTACATTTATCACTTTTTTCATTCAATCATTCGCTTTAAACAAAATTGAATTTACGAGATAAGCCATGTTCTTTTTTTCTTAAGTATCAAATTGAAATGATCATTAGGTACTCTAAAAAATTAATCTAATTAGTAGTTACCACATTACTATAAGTAATCTGATTATTGTAATGTATAATAAATTACATTAAAGACCCAATATTAGAAAAGAAAGAAAAAGCTCTTCCTTACATTTTAGTGCTAACCGATTTCTATTTTTCTCATTAAAATATAAGACAAATGAAGTAACTTAACCCCATTTATTTTTAGCAAAACTGATGCAGATTGCCTATTTATATGCATGTAAAAGCAAATCATGACTAATTGGGAAGACCAGCTAAATTGCAGCAATCTACTATAATAGCAAATGACTAAATTATTGCATTAATTTACGAAATTAATCATTCCGTTATCTCTAAATTTACGACAACAATTGTAATCTCTATTGTGATTATCCTTTTTTTATGTCCTTAATGTTGTTACCCTCTTAAGATTTTGGCTATAAATTTCACGCCAAAGCACCCCATTATCCAGGCAAATCAACCACAGAGTTGAAACTAATTTAGAGAAAGATTGTTAAGCCTAAAATGGCAAAACATCAGAGTTTTTTATGTTTGGTCATCGCCATTTTTGCTAGTTTTATGGTTGTAGCATTTGAAACTAAACAGGTAGAAGGAGCTTTGAATGGCGATGGATGGAGAAATGCTCGTGCTACATTTTATGGAGACGAAACCGGTGGCGAAACCATGCGTAAGTTATACTTGTTCTACACTTATGTTACAATACTTGCACTAAAAATATTATAAATCCACATGATTTCCAAACCATGATATGTAGCATGAACGTCATTTCACAATTATAATTTTCTTTTTTCTTCTTTGAAATGAAATAAATTTTCCATCTAAATAGATATCAAGAAACACGAGTGAAGCTTGCTCAGTTGATGAAACGACTTTACTAATGATAGGTTAGTGGTTCTGGTCATACACGAGTATGTAAAAGATTACTATCGACTCATTTGAAGATTGAATTAAAAGAAAGAACAAAGAAAGATGGTGTTACATGAACATTTTCACATATGTATAAAAAGTATTTGCAATTTTGTAGTATGGGAAGGGGCCCGGGACAGAGCTAGGTGGGTGGAATGAGGTTCAATCGAACCCCTTTTGCCGAAAACTATAGAGTTTATGTAAGGTTATTATAAACTATATATATATATANTTTGCATGTTTATTTACTTTTTTTTTATTTTTGAATCCCCTCGAGAAAAATCCTGCTTCCGCCATTGGAAGGGGCGATCAAGGATATGGAGCTTTTGCTCTTGGCAGATTAAAGCAATGTAGCTAATGAGAGATTTCAATAGTTCCATTTAATATTTCCGACGTACTCAAAAAAAAAAAATTGCATAATTTGGTTGGTTCACAATATACATATTAACGAATGTTTGGATACTATTGCAGAGGGAGCTTGTGGCTATGGAAATTTGTTCCACCAAGGGTATGGCCTGGAAACAGCAGCACTAAGCACAGCACTTTTTCACAATGGGGCAACATGTGGAGCTTGCTTTGAAATAATGTGTGTAAATGCTCCTCAATGGTGCAATGCAGGGGTGAAAATTACAATAACAGCCACCAATTTCTGCCCTCCAAATTACACAAAAAATGTAGATATTTGGTGTAATCCTCCCCAAGAACACTTTGATTTATCAGAGCCAATGTTTTTAAAAATAGCCAAATATAAAGCAGGCGTTGTCCCTGTAGTTTATAGGAGAGTTAAGTGCCAGAAAAAAGGAGGTATTAAGTTTGAGATTAAAGGGAATCCTTATTGGATTCTTGTTCTTGTTTACAATGTGGGAGGTGTTGGAGATGTGGCCAATGTCAAAATTAAAGGATCTAAAACTGATTGGATTACTATGTCGAGAAAATGGGGCCAAAACTGGCAAACATCTGCACAATTGGTAGGACAGAGCTTGTCTTTCCAAGTACAAACTAGTGATGGCCAATGGGTTCAATCTGATAATGTTGTTCCTGCTAACTGGCAATTTGGTCAGAGTTTTGAGGCGACGAATAATTTTAACTCGTGATGTATTGAGGAAATGATTAATCGTTTTTAATCAATAGAGTTTATCGATCTTTTCTCCTCACTTGTGAGACTACACTGGGTTGTTGTTATTATTGTTGTTTATCGATCTTTTCTCTAAATTTCTGTTTCGTATATTCAGTCGCTATAGCTTTTAGTGTAATATATTTATTTATGAAACAAATGAATAAGAGCTAGATTAAGAAACAAATTATAAACACAATATCTCGATTCAATTCATTTATCCACATACATAATAAATTAACTTCTATTTATAGAGAGAATCTACCATTAACTAGTGGCTAAACCAAGATTTTCACTAAAGGGTGTCAAAATATAAAAAAGAAAAGTTAAATATACGAAAAAGCCAAAGGGATTCAACATATAATATATATGCATAAAATATAGTTTTCTGGCGGAGGAGTGTCAGTTGACAGTTGACACCCCTTAGTTATACGTGGTTCGGGCAAATGTCATATCATGCCAATAATCAATTTTGCTTCACTTATCCACGTACATAATTAAAATTACTAATCAAGCCTTATATGTTCATTGCTTAATTTGGGATACAAGGAATTCCAAGTTTTTGGTTGAAGATCCTCCTATACTGATGCTGTTTCTAGCCATTTCCTTCAACTTAAGTGAGTTTGCTCTTATGCTGTCATCTGATAACAAATCCTCCACTTTTTGCTTAATTTCATATCTGGAAATAATTCCTTTCTCATCTGCATTCAACGATAAGCCTATTTTCCAACCATCAGAAATACAAGTCTGTGTATACAATTGATCTCCAAAATAAGGCCAACATAGAAAAGGTACTCCCATGCTTAGACTCTCCATTGTCGAATTCCAACCACAATGAGTCACAAAACAAGCAATTGAAGGGTGAGCCAACACCATTTCTTGAGGTGCCCACTCAACAATCTTCCCACGATTAGCCACTCTCTCTGAGAAATCACTCGAGTACAGAGCAAACGAACCATTTGTCAGGCCTGACCAAGCCACCCATAAGAATGGTCGATTCATAAACTCGAGGCCTAATGCCAATTCTTCAACCTGTTGTTGGCTGAATCTTGAAGTGCTGCCAAAGGCAACATAAATAACTGATTTTGGAGCTTGTTTGTCAAGCCAGGTTAGACAACTTGAATCTTCTGAATAAAGACTACCAGCAGACTGTCCATTGGCAAGTAAAGGACCAACAGGAAGAATATTGGTAGTCAAAATTGAAGCTGAAGGGGCAATGTCAGTGAACCAGTTGCAAATAATCCAGTCCGAAGTTATCATCCATTCAAAAATTTCTTTAATTGATGCAAACATTATTTTTTGTGCATCCGCGCCATGTGGATGGTACCACGTAAATTCAGCAGTGCTCATGTCTGGTAAATTTGGCACAACTTGAATCTTCTCGTTCTTTAATGGAGTTCCTGCAAGAGTTACAAATCTCCCCCAGATCAAAATCATAAGTGTGTCTCAGCCTGTGTTTGTCATGGCACTACGCTTAGAGACGGGTCCAAAATTTAAACTTGATGGATTTAACATTTATATTTTTCACCCTTAAACTTGATGCACTTTTGCAATTATGGGTTCAAAATTTAATATTTATTAAAATCTTAATGATGAATGATTTTTCACAATGTATCTAGGTTTTGTGTAAAAGAATATTGGATTCAGTTGAACCCGTCAATCATACATTGCGTTCGCCGTTGAGTCTGATTTCCATAAAATCAATTTAAATTCGCTGATGGAATATTAACAAGAATTGAGTTACTTCTCAGATGTCTCTTGTTTTGTTTGTGTACATGAGCAGACAAGCAATGTTAACGAATTAAAATATAAAGATATAGATAAGGGACATTAGCTTACCATCAGCGTCAATGACTTTTGCTTCAATAAGCTTAGATATGTTGAGCCCCAAAGCCAAGCATCCTGGTGTAGAACAGAGATAAACAGCAATCTTGATCCCCATTTTCTTAGGAATTTCCAGCAGAAATCCTAATGGTGAATCAAGTATAACACTAGTGACCTTGTCACTGGCCTTGTTGAGTAAGTCCTCCAAATGAGCAGGCATAACTTTCCTAATACTTTCAGACAATATTTGTAAATCTTTCCTATCATCCTCAGGATTGAGCCCATCAGGAACCGAGACTAGACGAATCATTCCTTCCCCAGAATCTGGAATTTCATTGGACAAAGTTGCAGACGAGAACTCTGTACTCACAAATGAGACTTTCACCCCATACTCGGCTATACGATGTGAGAGTTTGATGAGGGGCGATGCGTGACCTTGTAAGGGATAAGTCATCACCAGAACATGGCCATGACTGCCAGAAACTTTACAGCCATCGGTATCCATGGACAATTCCAAGTACCACCTCAGAGATAAATTTGTTTGATTTTATACAATTTGTATGAGAAGACGATTTAGACGCGTAGTCAGCCAAAGTTGATGCATGGTTTGTTATAACAGAAAGAGGGTACATTTTTCTTTCCCGAGTATATAGCTGATTTAAATGGTTTGTTATAACAGAAAGAGGCTACATTTTTCTTTACCGAGTATATAGCTGATTTAAATGGTTTGTTATAACAGAAAGAGGCTACATTTTTCTTTACCGAGTATATAGCTGAATTAACTCACTTATCCTTCCTAAATCTATAACTGATTACACTCATTACCTTGGTTACGTACCTTTTAAATTTAGTCAAGAATTAGTAAAATTGGATTACTTTAATTTGGGATTGTTGACCAGTAGATTGAAATATGGTGTTTCATGTTGACATTTGTTCAGTTGAAAGTTTTCCCTTTTTGGGATATAAACTGATTGAGACGCTTTCCTAACGAGCTTTTTGAGTGCACTACCAAAATTCAAAAACTACCACAACTATCCGACGTTATGTACACAAACTTTCTCAAAAAAACAAATGTCAATATTGTGGGATTACACCGAGTTTGTTGTTGTTGTAGAATGGTAAAAACTTAGATACAATACACTAACTCTTCCAAAACAAAAAAATACATAAACTAATCTGAGAAATAAAATACTTAGCGTAACGGTGACTGAGAAAGGAAGGAACAAAATGGATTACTCATAACAAATAAACAAATAGTAACTAGTAGTAACACAGATCAACAACAACAACAACAACAACCCAGTATAATCCCACTTAGTGGAGTTGTTTCCAAATAGACCCCCAACATCCTTCCCTCCGAAAACTTCCCACCTTGCTCTTGGGGAGACTCGAACTCACAACCTCTTGGTTGGAAGTGGAGGTTGCTTACCATCAGAGCAACCCCTTTGTCTTAAGTAGTAACACAGATCAGGAACAAAAATTCACATAATCTTTCACAAGAAATAGGAAAACTCCTCTGCCGTCTCTAACTACTATCATCCCATGGATCTTCATATAACAATAATATGAACTAACAACATTCATTCAATTGAAAAGTCTATCTATTTGATTTCCTAATTCCGCAAAGTAGCAGCTTTAGACTAGGCTAATTCTTCATAACTGAGGCAAAAACTAGCAGCAAAACAGAAAAAGATCATCATAACCCCTCTCTAGTCGGAAATGGAGATAAGCTTCACCTTTTATTGCCAAATGCCCGAGCATGGCTTCTGGCAAGAAAAACTATCAGAGCTCCAATTCCAGCAGCCGTCCCAACACCAAAGCAGAAAGAAGGCATGTGAACAATTGATCTTCCTTTGTTTTGCATCATTTCCCAGTGCAACTGAACATCATCCGGGTGCCATAAGCTCATGTGTACAGCCAACGTCATTTTCAGATCAGAATCAAGTGGTGTGCTGATAATGTCCAAACACACCGGACATGAAGCTTTTAAAGACACTCCATCTTTCTTCACAGTGACTCTTCCTGCAACTGCTATTGCCTTATCTCGCAACGACTTCCCAAATGGTCTAGATATCTGCACAAGGATTTTTGGCTTCAGAAGAAAATAAATTGCAAGATTTGCTAATAAGGCATGATTTAGAGGCAGATCAAAATTAGATTAGAGTAACTGGCTTACCATTATAAGCCTACAAACCCGCTGCCACGACATCCTCAGCTGCTTCCTCATCTCCCCTCTTCTAAGACTAAACTAGTGTGAATAACTGAAAAGTAATTTGCTGTTCTCTGCAATGATACTTCATTGCGGGGGAAAAATCAAAGATATGAATCACGAAAAAAAATCAATTTTTATTTTATTAACAGCACGGTTCATAATTAGTTCTGATAAATAAATTTATACCACCTAGTTAAACACAACCCACACAGAATCGTAAACACAACCAATATTCTTCAGGAATGTTTAACAGCTTAAAATAGGGTTAAGAAGTCGTTCAAATAATTTATTCATTATTCTAAAAAATATCGAAGCATTGAGTAAAAGTGAATTAAGGGATATTATATTGGAAAAATGACACTGTATAGCCGCTTTAAAAATAATAGCCAAAAAATATACTCCCTCCGTTCCAGTTTATGTGAACTTATTTCCTATTTGGTATGTTCCAAAAAAAATAACCTCTTTCTAAATTTGGAAACAATTTAGCTTAAACTTCCAATTCTACCTTAATGAGAAGCTTTTACAACCATACAAATAGTCTAGACCCTTTTTGACTTGTTTAGGACCACAAATTCCAAAAGTCTTCATTTTTTCTTAAACTTCGTACCCAGTCAAACAGGTTCAAATAAATTGGAACAGAGGGAGTATATTTTTTGTATATATATACATTTTTATATGTTATACACAAAAAAGGTACAAATTTAATACACTTTTGATGCTACCACATGTAAATACTTTCAGCCTCGAGCTAAATGTTATCTTTGCCCTATTATATGTTGCCTGTTTGAATGAAGTACTTTACGGGTCTTTTGATAGCAACCCAACCCCTTCGTCCCGTCGTCGGACTCCATTTAAAAGTCCCAATTTCCCCCATATTTCTCTCTTTCTTCACAAATTTCTTAGGGGAACATTGATTTTGATGCTTCAAGGAACAACACTACATTACGCCAAAAGAATAAACGATTCAACTGTAAAAAAAACCCACATTAACACTACAATGAGTAAAAGTACAACACGTTTAAGCAGGAAGAGAAGAATTTCTCCGGTGCTAGGTGTAAAAATTCAAATAAAGTTGAGGAATATACAATGCACAAATCGATTTACCAGGCAGAAGCAACTTCGCTGTAAAAACCTCTGTCAACGATCTTTGAGTTACTCGTATTTGTCGAATGGAACTTATTCCTTAAGATGCGGAGGATTTTTAGGGAGGTAAATTTGGGAAAGTTGCCTTGGTGACGAAGCAAATTAAGGGGTCGTTTGGTTTGAATATAGGTTATGGTTTGATAAGTTGTGCTGAGATTAGTTATTTGTTATTGTTTTTTATTTTTTTTAATATGTTATATTAAAAATAATATTTGCATAATTTCTAAGAAGAAGTACAAGTCATCCCGGCATTAATTACCTCACTCCTTACAAGGTGTAAATTATCTCAGTACTAATTTTAATCCGAGGATAATTTATATGAGATTTCCTAATCAAACAAAGTATTAAGGTGATATTAAATTTTTATACCAGCACTATATCTACTTAACTCATGCCAAACGACCCTGAGAGATTGGCCAGTGAAAATATTACTCCTAGGTATTAGTATAAAGTATATAGCTCAAAAGCACTAACATGTGAAATTGATAAATAATTTAAAATTTCAACAAAAGGTACTGATAAGCAACTTTTTTTTTGGTTAAAACTATTTATAAAAAATATAGTGTATAAATTTAAAAGTATCTTCATATAAAAAATGACAATTGGTGAAAGTCGGATGGAGAGGGAATTACTGGTTGTGTTTAGGAAAGGATAATTTGAAGATTGCAAAATACTATATTAGAGATAAAATAATAGTAATATATTTTTGTCAAACCAAAAATGCTTATAAAAAGTCATATAAAGAAATCAATTAGAAATAAAGAAACTTCGTTTTGCTGCAAGACATGCTCTATCGACTAGTTAAACCATGCAACACATTTTATGTATCTACTGTTGATATTGGAGTGCGGACAGTGGTTAGGTCTGCCATGTTATATGGAACTGAATGTTGGCCGGTAAAGAACTCACACATTCAGAAGATGAAAGTAGCAGAGATGAGGATGTTGAGGTGGATGTGCGGGTTCCTCAAGTTAGGGAGACTAAGAATTCTCCCAAAAGTGATCATATATATGCAAAAATTCATGGTTACCCATATTATCCGCCGGTTAACCCGTTTTTTATCCGTATTAAATATGGGTCAGGTCGGATAATTGATCCGTTTTTCATTACTCGTTTTCGACCCGAACCATATATATCCAACCCGACCCGCACGTTTGCCACTTCTAGTAGTCATGAGAGAATATCATCCTTGGTACGTTTCACTACCTCGAGATATAAACGTTGATGACGATGTATTGGAAAAAATTGAGTTTGCATATTGGAGGTGACGTGTCATGACACGTGGATTAGTCAAATGGTCAAAGAGTTATAATTAGCCAAGAGGCACGAGCAACAACAGATACGAAAGAAGGTGATGAAAGAGGCACGGGCAGTTATTCAAATAATTCGGCGCCCGTACCTATTTGAGTCATTTAAAGCTCAAAGATCAAGAAGAATCAAGGAAATGAATCTGACAACGCATGAGAGTCCAAATTCAGTATTTAACATATATTAAATACTGAGTACGTCAGAGAATTTGTATTTAATATAAATGATTGAGTAACGTTTCTTTTAATGTCATTTATTATTCATAATTGCCTTATTAAGACAAAGGCAATACACATATCTCCAAAAAATTATTATAAAAGGGAGAATGCTGAACATTTGTAAGGACACGAGATACTATTGAGATACATCTTGATTTACTTGCTTTCTGATAATATTGCTCTCAAAATCCTTTCTTTTTATTCATTTTCTGATTATCAGTAACCTGTGTTCTTCTAAATTTCTGGCTTTGACTAAAACCCTATTTTTTGATTAAACAAATTGGTTCCGTTACCGGGAATCTGATAATCTATTTCCAACAACTATGGCAAACAACATCGATAACACCTAAGGCAACCAGGTGAATCAAAACCAATAGATTCAAGAGGATCTGCAAAACATTGATTCTCCACGTGGTTCACCACGGCATTCTCGTGAAGGCACCCCTGAGTAGGGGTGTCAATGGTTTGGTTCGGTCGGTTATTTTATAAATTTTGTACCATACCAATTTTTCGATTATTCTATTATATATAACCAAAATTAGACTTTTCGAAACCATCCCAATTATATCGGTTCCTCTTCGGTATCGGTACGGTTCGGTTAATTTTCGGTATTTTTTTATAAATATAATAGAAAAGTCACTAGTAGAAATAGAATGCAATAACATACATACTTTTATAGGACTTAATAAAACTCTCTAGATATTTTTACATTTTAAAGGGTGATGAATTAAGAAAATATAAAAGATGGCTAGAGTATAGATCCATCAACTACTCAACAACAACATAAAAGAAACTAAACAAATTAATATAACGAAAATATAAATCACACGAGTGGAAAGATATTAACCAAGCTGGGACTGAGACTCAAGAAAAAAGTCTATAGAAGATTAAATATTCAAAAAAATATTAAATCATACGAAGGAAACATAATCAATACATTGTCATTTGCTACTCATAATAGCTACAATACCTTGTGTCTCGCTAGTGAATATGCTGGAAAAAAAATTAGTTTCAATGGGAGTAGCATAATAGGTTTGGGAATTATGTTTTGCGATTATTACTTGTTGGCTTGTAATTGTTTTCATAATTCCAAGACCCAAGGAAAATTTAATGTTTTATCATTTTTGAACTTAATATATAAACATATTTTTCACATGTAAATTTATTCGGTACGGTTTGGTATTTTTTCGGTTTATTTTCATAAAATAAAAAACCTACCCTAATTGTCGGTACGGTTATAGATTTATATAAAAACCTACGGTTTTATTAAAAGAAACCTAAAAATTGGTTCGGTACGGTACAGTTCAGTCGGTTTAGTCGGTTTTTAAATATCTATTGACACCACTACCCCTGAGTCTCGTGCAGTTGGACAGGATCAATCTGAGAATTTTGAAGGGGTAGATGAAGCTTTACAGAAAGTAATAGCTGCGCATGTCAATAAAGTTGTTCAGGCTTTAGTTAACCAACTACCTGCTGCACCACCCACACCTACACCTAATAACAACACATTGGAGAATCCCCATTCTGGACTTGTTAATTCAGGAAATAGAAGAACTCCCAGTAAATCATGTAAGCACGTGATTTTTGCCCTATATGAGAATTAATCCCAAAAATTTCAAAAAAAAAATAATAATAAAAAACAATTTTTTTTTTATAGTTGGCATTTGCTGTGAATTTTGTGTAATTATTTGTATTTTTTTCTGTGCATGTTTATTTTTACTCTAATTAAGAAAAATACAAAAATAGGCGTCACATGCGCATTTACGATTTAATTGTGCATTTAGGAATTAATTAAACCATAATTCGTTTATTAAAAGGAAAATCACAAAAATCCATCTTTTGTTTTTATTTCGTTAGTAAGTGAGACTATTTTAATGTGTGTTAATTTTGATGTTTGTATATTGTTATTTGGCATTTGTATTGGAAAATTAAAGGATCTTTGGACTGGGCCAATTTGAACTAAAATGAACAAGGCCCAAACCAAAAAACAACCCAATCCAAAATCTGTTTGCCCGGTCCAATTGAGCTGGCCACACGACCGTCCAAACGACGTCGTTGAGCTGCCTTCAATCTGGACCGTTAATCTCACTAGATTAACGGTCCAGATCACTCGTCCTCAACCCCCATACGAACCCGACCCATTCAACCCCGGACCTACCCGATCCTAATGCTAAACCAAACGACACCGTTTGGATTAACCTTTGAATCTAGGCCGTTGATCTCGAGTGATCTAACGGCCAAGACCCAACCATCCATCCCGTATAAAAGCCTCCATATCATACCCTGCCCCCTATCCAAGCACCCCTTCAGTCGTCTTCTTCACCAGACCCCGAGCCCCATGAAACCCTAACGCCGCCCCCTTTTCCCTCACCCTTAAACCCGGCGGCAAAGACGCCGGTGACCACCCCCTTTACACCCTAGAACCACCTCAACCCCCTGAATCCAAATCCACC